AGTGGACCACATGCATTTGTGTAATTGATGTGCATGTTGAAGCGACGCACCATCACTCCTTGAATTCCGCATTCTGCAACGGACAAAGCGAATGAGTGCGACGACGGGGACAACAGTGACGTCTGTGGCCAAGCTGCACGATGTGGATCTGCGTAAGGTGGTGCAAGACAAGGTGCTAATTCAAATGGTCAAACACGTGACGCAGCTGACACGCGGATGGGTGGTCATGGTGGTGGATGACGACGCTACGCGTAGCTTGACGCAGGTGGCACGGATGAGCGAGCTCACGGACTGCGGTGTGTCGCTTCTGGAACGTATGGAGCTTGAACGCCAACCATTCCCCGAGATGAACGTTGTGTACTTCATCGCCCCCACAGCGGCCAACGTGCGCCGCCTGGCAAGAGATTTTGAAGACCCCAACAAGCCCAAATACAATGACGTGTACCTGTATTTCCTGTATCATGCAGGCGAAGAGGCGCTTAGTGAGCTGAAGAACGCTCCTCAAGCTTTACTACAAAGACTAAAGGCTTTGCAGGAGGTCAATGTGGACTTTTTAGCTGTCGAGAAATGCGCGTTCTCTTTCGGAATACATGAAGCTTTCCATACTCTGTACTCTCCTGCTGTCAAAAAGAGTGAAAGTGAGAAGCTCATGGAGACAGTTAGCAACAAATTGGTGTCGGTGTGTGCTACTCTTGAGGAGTATCCCTATGTAAGGTACCAAGCTGGACATACTCGAATGGAGACGATGGCACAAATGTTCCAGAGCAAAATGAACGACTACTTAGCACAGAACTCAACGTTTTCGTACGCTCCAAAGAGGGGCACTTTGTTGTTTATCGACCGTGGACAAGATATGGTAACCCCACTCATGCATGAGAGCACGTTCCAGGCGATGACGTACGACTTGCTGGGCGTGATGGACGATCATATCACGTATGAAGCGGAAACGAATTCCGGTACGACGACGAAGACGGCATTTCTGAACGAAAACGATAAGCAGTGGGTGGAGTTCCGTCATACGCATATTGCCAAAGTTAGCACGGAGATTGGCAAGCGCATGACTGCGTTATCAGCGTCGAATGCGGGTACGTCACTGGGCCGAGGCAAAAGCACAGATTTGCAGGCTATGGCTGCTGGACTGCGCGAGTTGCCCGAGTACCGAGAAATGCTGGGCAAATTATCACAGCATTTGTTCTTGGCTGGTAAAGCCATGGATATCTTCACTTCCACGGGTCTACTAGAGGCTTCCAACATTGAACAAACTCTGGCCACGGGTGTTGAAGAGTCTGGGAAGAAGTTGAAGCACTCTGCGGTTGCAAAACAGCTCGAAGATTTGTTTAAAGACCCGAAACTAACAGAGAACGATCGATTCCGAGTTGCAGTAGTATTTGCACTGACTCAGGATACGATGAAGGAAGCAGAGCGCAATAAGGTCATGCAAGCCGCGAAGCTTTCCAAAAAGCATGAGACCATTCTCGAAAATATGGTATTGGTAGCTGGATCCGAGCTGTACAAACAGAATGGCAACTCGCTAATCTCGAGTGAGGATTTGAAACTGGCCACGAAGAAGGCTGAGG